CCTCTCAGAATTTGAAAGGAGTTGGGGTGGGGCACCGCTATTTTTAAGGAGATATTAATGGGGATTTCAGGCATCACAACCAGGCCAGAAGGGAGCATTTAGGGACAGGTTCTCTGGGGGAGGAGCCCACACAGGGCCTGCCTCCTCTCTGGAAGGCCTCACAGTGCCAGCTCTTCGCTGCTCTTGGCTCAGGGTTCCAGGTCAGTGCGCTGCTCCCGGCCTGCAGAGCTTTGGGCTAACGCTGCCTTCAGTGTGGAGGAAACTAAAATGTGACCCTCCCCTCCGGAGGCTTCTATTTTCCCATATGCCCCAGAGGAGCTTTGGTAGATCTTTCTCGTCAGAGCCCACTCCCTTTTAGGGTCTTTGGTTCCTCCCCTGCCCTGGTTTCCAGGGGTGGGTGTGGAGCCTGTGTCTGGCTGTGCTCAGCCCTCTGACAGTGTCTGGTCCCCTCCAGCAGGGACCCTGACACTGCTTGGGAGGGCAGCAGCCCAGAAATAGCTCAGGTCCTTTCCCTGGCTGGGCATCGTCCTTGAGCCCTGGGGTACGGTCCCCAGCCTGGGCTGTCCTCAGATCTCCACCATCAACCTCCAAAAGAAGCTCTGAGGCTGATGATAATGGGCAGGACAACTTGCCCATTATCATCAGCCTCAGAGGGACCAGGTACATCTTGTAGGCCCTGAAGCCAGCCTATTTTCACCTGCAGAGCCACCTTAAGCTGCTGACTGTCAGCTCTGTGAAGGCTGCAGAGGCTGAGCCTAGTTCCTTTCTCTGTATCCACCAGTGCCTACTGCATAGTAGGTGCTCCATAAATGTGTTGAATGAATGAATCCATCAATGATGTAATGAATGAAAACTTGACTCCTCGTTACTTTTCAGCAGGGAATTGATTTGGGTGTCTATAATCGGCCACAATAGAAAGATAATCTAGAGCCAGCCGAGTGGCTCAGTTGGTTAAGAGCTCGCTCAAGAGTTTGAGCTCTGAGCAACAGCGGTTCGATTCTCGGCCCGAGCTGAGCAGCCGCTGAGGTGGCAGGATGGCTCAGCTTAAAAAAAAAAAAAGATAATCTAGTGTCTGCGTTCAAAGGATAAATTCAGAAGCAGGCAGCCTGTGTTTGAATCCCAGCTCTGCCCACAGGCTTTGCACCAATTACAGAACCTCTCTGTGCCTCAGTCTCTTCCCTTGGAAAATAGGGGTAGTAATAAAGCATACTTCAAGGGTTGCTCTGAGAATAAATAGTTAATACAGGTAAAGAGTGTATGACAAGGGCCTGGCCTGGAGTGAATGTTCAGTACATGTTGGTCATCCTTACTTGTGGTAGAATTACAGCATCAAGAGTGTCTATGTGCTAAGTATGGGGGAACCCAGAGAATTCCACCATTACCCTTCCTGCCTCCAAGATTTACAACAGAACAGAGATGAAACCCACACAGGAGGGAGTCAGAGCGATGAACTGCTGCCAAGTGTAGCGTAAGATTCCCCTGGGTGCTAGACCTGATGAGGAAAGACCTTGTGGAGAAGTGGGATGTAGAGGGGCTGGGAGAGGCCTAGGCTAAAGAAAGAGGCATGTTGGGGCCACTAGGTTATAGGGGTGGGGTGGGGAGGTGCACACTTAGGTGCAGAGGGCCCTAAAAGGAACACAGGCCTCTCCAGTCAGTATAAAGGGCTTATACATCATGAAATTTCATCCCTAATTTTCAGGATCTTTAGCCTTTTCAGTTATACCCTAGCTCCTGGAAGCCATCTTAGCAGAAACAGTTTCCTTCCAACCCTGTTTGCTGAAGCTGTGTGGGCAGGAAAGACACAGCTTCAGAGGCCTCCTGTGGGGAGCACTCAGAGGCCCCTCTATAGGCTCAGAGAGAGGTCTAGGGGTCTCTGATGTTCCCAGGCTGATTCCCTGGGGAATGAACGTGACCCTGTGCCTGTGGTCTCCCAACTGGAGGACCAGGCTGACCAGTAGAAAAACTAGACGTCAGTCTGTGCCTGACTCGCCCAAGAGGAACGCCCTGGGACTAGGGTGAGTCGGGGTTTTGTAAGATGTGATCAGAAGGAGGAGGCAGGGTCCACGGGGAGTGTGGCCTGTCCCCCTCACTTCTAAATGAAGACTCGGAATCCCCCAAATCACCTGGCGTCCCTGCCTCTGCAGGGTCCCTCCTACTCCCACTCCTACCCATGGCCCCGCTCGTCTGCCTGGCCAACTCCTGTTCGTCCTGCATGATCCCTACATCGCCTCCTCTGGGAAGTCCTCCAGCCTATGCATGGTCAAGTGCGCGCTCTCCTCCGGGCTTCCACAGCACCATGTCCTTCTCCCTGCCATCAGCCACTGAACCACAACCGTCTGCAATTGGTCCTTGTCCCCCATGAGCTCCCTGAGGTCAGGTAATGGGCCTCCTTCATCTTTGCATTCCTGGTTCTTGGCATCATGCCTGGCATCAAGTCGGCATCAATGAATGTTTGAGGAATGAACACAGGAGCTGGGCCAGCACCACCCACAGAGAGAGCAGTGAGGGCAGAGGCCAATGTCAAGGCAGCCGAGCTACCCCAGGCATCCCCTGCTCCACCAGCAGGCTCACCCTGGCTGGTAACCAGGTCCACGGTTCTGCCTCACCTCTAAAACGTCTCACACAGGGCAGAAGAAGGCATCCTTGCTTTCTGCCCATCCTCTCCTTTTCTCTAGGACAGGAGGGGCTGCTTCCCAAGCATCCCTGAGAGCATGCCCAGAGGTGGGCGGGAAGGGGAGCAGGGGAGCAATCGGGCCAGTGAAGGACACCAGGTACAGAGAGGGGCCAGGGCACTCGGAGGACCACATGCATAGAACGACAGGGACAACCATATCCTTAGGGAAAAAGACTCTCTAAAAGGCGGCCCCTGGGACCTAAGGTCTGGCTTCCTCATTGTGGCGGAGGGGGATGTGGTTCAGGTCCCCTTGAATTCATCCTCTTCTGAAAGCTCCTTTGGCTCCTGAACCCTGGAGTGAGGCAGTTCATATTTTGCCTAACTAGGGCATAGACCAAATAAGAGTGCCCACTTTCCAGATGGGAAAATTGAGGCACTGGGAAGCCAAGTGTGTCCCTACGTCTAACACGGGCTGTGTGGGCCAGAGGACTCATGACATATATTTCCACAGGCAGATGGTCCCCCTCAGATTTAGGGGTCAGAGAGTTGTGCTGCAAATACCACCTGCAGATTGCCCTGAACCCCCTCCTCTCACAAGGCTGTACAGTGGTTACTTTAGAAAGATGCCATCAATTGCCAACCAATGGGCCAATGACAGAGGAGAGAGCTGTAGGTGGCCCCGAACCCCAGAGTCATGGTCTTCCCCCCACCCCAGTGCTCATGATGGCCTATCCTTTGAGGTCACCCTGATCCCTCTGTCACAACCTTCAGGATCACTTTGGGCCCTCTCCCCAGCACCCCTCCAGTCACAATCCATGTCTGTGAAGTGGCTTTGATACCAGCCCCTCCTGACCACCCCGCAGCCGGTATTCCCACCCAGACCCTTGTTCTGTCTCACTCAGATCATAGCAAATGCCTCTTATTGGGTCCCTCCCACTTCCAGTCTACCTGCTAAGGCTTCACTTTCTGAAATCTAGCTCTAATCATATAGGTCCCTTGCACACAATCTTCAATGGTTCCCTACTGCCCGTCAAATTCACTCCTGACCTCTTAGCTCGGCATTCAAAGCCCTACTGCTCAGGTTCCAGTTCAGCCTTAACTCCCTCTTGCCTTTTCTTGGTGTCCCCTATGCTCACTGTTCTGTGATCACTCCAAGGCTCCAGACCTGTTCCTTCCCCCTGGAAAGCCCTCCCTGTCCATCTTCACCTGCTGAGATCTCAACCATCCTTCCAGGCCCTTGCACGAATGAAGCTGGATATGCTCTTCTCTGAGCTCTCTCAGTAACCTCTCCCAGGATGTGAGCCCCTTGAGGACAGAGTTGTCTCATCCACCTTCTAGCCCCGCAATGTACAGAGCACAGTGCTGGGCATATCAGGGGAATAAGAGATGTGGAGTGAGAAAATGCACACAAAATCTGTGCACTCATTCGTGTCAGTATTTATTGAACACCTACTATGTGCCTTTGTATCCAGGATACAATGGTGAACAAAGCAGGTGTGTCTGCCCTGTGGAGTGTAGACAGCCCGTGCTCTAGAATGTGCAAGCATTAGCTAAGCATTAGGGGATTTGCCACAGCTCCGTTCATCTCCTCCCTGCCTGCTCCTGCATATCTGGGGGCTGCTGCCCGTTGGCATGTGTTCCGGGGATGCAGACTCACGTACAACACTGGTTTAAGCTAAAGCCTCTTCAACGGCCTGAGTAGAATCAGCATTTTGCAGCTGATTTTCCAGGCCTGCACATATTTAGGATGCATCAGAGGCCATTCCCATTCACCTGCTCAGGGGACATTCCCTGCAGGGCTCAACCCCCTCCTAGCTGTCCCCAGGGCCTGGCAGCCTAAGGTCTCCAGGTGTTGTAGGGACTGAGAGGGCAGGGGGCCCTGTCTGATCCTCAGGGGTGGTCATCGCTGACTGTGATGGAGGAGCTGGTGGATTACACTCTTCATTTTCTCCCCACCTGTCCTCTGACATGGAAAGAAGTGGGAGAAGGGAGAGAGTTCGCAGGTCCATCCCTGGTCCCATGTGTCCACAAATCCCATCGCTGTAGACCTGCTACCAACCAGGGGTGATATCCACACATTTACCCACCACACAGCACAACCCTGACCAATCACAATGGACACTGGCTGAAATACTGGAGCAGGGGGTCTCACACAGATGCCCTTTCAGTTGCTGGATTACCAGATGAGCTAGGGGTCCCAGCGGAGGATCAGGACCAGCTGGGGCAGGAGCAGTCTAGACAAAGGTGATGACCTACTTGAAGAGAAGTATTTTTGATACTTACCTTAAATATTTTAACAGCTAGCATGACTGCATCAGTGCATGCCAGCCCTGCTACCAACCACAGTGCCCATACAATCACAGCAAATCCAATTTAAAACCACATATTTTATTGATGGCCTTTATTGACAATACAGGGCCATGTGTACAAGGGCTACTCAAGTCCCACGCATGGCAATCTTCCCATGGTTACCCCTCATTAACCAGTCTGCCAGGAGTTGACCCCCTGCAGGTTCCCATTTGGCTCCCCGCCCCAGTGTCCAGCCTCCCAGTGCTAAATCTCCAGGAGGCTGAGATTGGCCAGACTGGCTTCCAAGCTTGAGCTTTGGGGTCAGGAGATAGCCAAGGCCTGGGTCACCCAGGGTCTTTCCCCCTCCTCTTCCACGCTCCCGACCTACATGTGGCCAGAACTGGGAGTGAGGATGCCCCCAATGACTCCTCCGTCCAGGCAGCCTGGGGTCTCCTTCAGCCCTGTCTGCCACATCCTTCCTCTCTAAGTAGCCTGCCCTGCTGACCACCAAGGTGGCAGAGTGACCATTTTTTTAGGGGTGGAAGTTGGTTTGTGGGGCAGTGACTAGATGTCCCTGATGGCAGGAATCTCATTGTCTTGTTCACCATTGTATACCAGTGCCTGAAAGGGCACATAGTTTTCAACCAATAAATCTATGTAGCATACACGAATGAAGGAGCATGAGAGGGAGAAGTAGGAGCAGGTGGAGCCATTACTACATTAGCCCTCTAGGGGGCGTGAAGGCTGCACCAAGGTAAAGGCCTTCCAAATTCTGCTCAAGAGCTCAGGGAGTTGTGTGGCAGCAGTTGAGGTCGCTGTGGCCACCAGCTGGACATTGTAGAGTGTGGGCTTCAGCCCTGTTGCCTGCATGGATGGCAGGCTGGCTTCAGGACCCAGTCAGGAGAGGGCACTTGTGTTGCACCCAATCCCTCATATGCCTCAGGGGTCTGGTCCTCTGGGTCCCAGAACACACAGCAGTGCCCCCATTCAGAGACAGTCAGATAAGCGGGGCTGGTCTGGCAATCGCACCCCTATATTCTGGTCTCCCTCATTCCACAGCCTCAACTCTGCCCATCTCACCCTTCATAGTTGAGCATGACCTTCTAGCTGTGCTCTCCCCAACACTGTCCCACCGCCCCTGAAACTGCTCAATCTCCCTGTCTTCAAATGCCGACCACCTCAACTAGCATTAATACCCAGTCCTGTCTCTCTAGAGACTCTTTCCTTGGTGGCTGGGTAGAGTCCTGAAGTTTTATGTCGTGATTTTCAGACCCCCCATGCCCAGCCCACCCTCCATGAAAGCAAGTAACTCACAGGCATCTCTACAAATCTTGCCTCTGGACCTGATAATCATGAAGAGGACACTAGAATCTTGGGGGCAGGAAGGAATTTTCCCTTCCCTGACCCTGTGCAGAGATTCTTTCCACAGCATGCCTGCTAGATGACTGCTTAGTCCCTGCTGGAATACCTCCAGTTTGAGGGCACTCAGTAACTCCCCAGGTAGACATTCAAACATTGAACAGTTTTAGCTGCCAGTCCTTTATATAGGGCAGAAATGAACCCATGTGCCTTTCTCATTCTCACTCCCCAAATATCCCAGCACCCCAAATTCTGTGTGACCCTCTTTCCTTCCCTCCCCTAAGTATTTTTCCTCTCTCTCTCTCTCTCTCTCTCTCTCTCTCTCACACACACACACACACACACACACACACACACACACACACACACACCCCTGTTATGTGGTTATGCAGGCACATGCCTCTCTCATTTATCAGTATTGCTCCTTTATTTTTCTCTTCTCCTTGCCTTCCCAGCATCTAGCAAAGACCTGGAGGCTGGAGACAAGGGGAAAGGCTGGAAGACTGCCAAGGAAAGGAAGCATCCAGCCAGATCCTGGACTGGGCTGGGGTGGCCAACTGGGGCAGGCTGGACAGGGGACAGCAGCTGGAAATCCCAGACCATTGGCTGCCGTGTTCCAAAGAAAGGGCCTTGCAACTTGGAGCGGATGGATGGACAGCAAGCTATTGAGTTCTTTTTCCCTCCCACTGCCCCTAACTTCACAGAGGGGACAAGGACACACCCCCCTCCTTTCCCAACCTCCCTAGCAGTTGACATGGTAATTTTAAACATTTTTTTACAGCCTCCAGGTCCCAGGGAGCATCATACCAGCAGCAAGAATCTACTCCCTATTTCCAGCATGGGGCTTCCAGGGGGAGCTCTAGCAGATGGCAGGGATGACATGAGACGTGGTGGAGAGTGAACAAGCTAGGCAGAGGCAAAGTAGGGACCCCAAGGAGAAGAAATACAAGCAGAGACCTCCTAACAGCAGCCACCTTTCTAGCCCGTGGGGAGTGTAGCGATGCCTGGGTTGCCATTTTTCCTCCTTGTCATGATCCACCAGCCAAAGCTGTTCTCTATGTGTCACAGAACCAGGGGTGGCTGCTAGGACCTTACCAGCCCGAGATTGTAGTGGGTCATGGATGGAGACAAGGGTGCAGTGGTCTTATGTTCAGGGGGAGCCAGGACACACACACACACACACACACACACACACACACAGAAATGATGACTTCTGTTACTTGTCCTGCTGCTTGGAGCTCTCACCTCCAACATTGAACATGGGGACAAACAGACCCAGCAGCCACCTTTTCCCAAACACTTCTTGTAAGTTCTTGCGCCAGGGCCGAGCCCTCACGGACACCCCCTTCCGCACCTGGTGGCGGGTCTGCCCACGGAGGATCAACAGAAGCTGATGGCAGCAGAAGCCAGCGCAGGCCAGGCCAACGGCAAACCAGAGGTAGAGCATGAGGATGACGAACATTTCAGAACCGAGGACAGCTCCTGCAGGGGGCGGGGAAACACCAGAATCGCTTTACACCCAGGCCACGTATGGAACTGCAAACACCGCAGGCGCTTTCCGCGAGGAAGGGAGGGAGATTAATGAGATTGAAGCTACATTTTGTAGCAACCTCAGCGCTGCAGCGAGGGCGAGGAAGGATAAGCTAGTGGCCATAACTTTTTCTTAGTGCTGATGTCTCCTGGAGCGAGGGGAGAACAGGGGATGTGGGGGAGAAGGGAAGGAAGCTTCTCTGAGCAGTGCCTAGACACGAACATTTCCTGAGCCCTGAGATACCGGTCTCTCTCTCTGCCTTCTCGTTCTGATCTGGAAACTAGGAGAAGGGATTTTTCTCAGGAGGAGAGAGAGGTGAGCTGAGGATCCTAGAGGAGAAGCTGGCGCCTGGGCAGCTGTCTAGACTGAAGCACCTTCTCCCTGTGGAGCTGGGAGCATTGACTGGGAGGATTCAGGAAAGTGACAGCATGATGGAGGACAGGGCCTAGTCATCAAGAAGAAGTCACGAGCTCCCAGGGCAGTGCAAAGTGCCGACTTAGAGAATAATTCAGTCATTAATGTTAACAAGAGGACATTGTGGCCACCAGAACACGCAGTCAGAGCTGTCCTGTCAGTCAAAGCTTGCTAAGGCTGGAAGAGGCACCAAGGTCATTAGTCAAGCACGCTGCTTTGGGCAGGACCTCCTGTAAACCCCTAGAGGGGTTTACCAGCCCTCTCTATTACTGGTTTTTAAATTCCATTAAGAGATCTCACACTCTACTTTAGAGTTGGGGGGGGGGTCAGTCCATGCTAAGTTTGAATCTCCCAGCTCTGTGGTCTTGCACAAGTTTCTTAACCTCTCTGAGTTGCAGTTTGCTCATCTGTAAAATGGATATAATGATGATGATTCCATAAGGTTGCATGACTCGAGAAAATTGTGTGTGAAGTGGCCAGCTTTCTGGTTCACCCTTAGTGCAGTGCTCCCTGCTGAGAGTCATTCACAAATGAGGAGGCTTTATCCAAAAAGGGCTCAACTTTAATTCCTTAGACCATCATGCTTTCTCCTCCTTCCCAGGGCTTGCAGGCCTGGCTGGACTGCAACTTGGGTGGCCATGGTAGAGACACCTACTTTGACCTGCCCAGCAGCCAGGAGAAAACTCAAAAACCATCCTCAGGCCCTCTCTCCCTGCAGGGTAAGCCCATCGCCACCTCCTCCAGTGAGACGAGGGTACCTGCTCTAGAAACCCCACCTTACTTGACCTCTGCAAATCTCAACCATATTCCTCCCTTCTCCAGCTTCCCCTGGCCACAGCCCACCTCTTCCCTGGTCTCCCCAGGCTCCAATTTCCAGACCCCTGAAGGTTAAGCTTTTAAAATGTGTCCAGTCTGAGCAGTGGTGGACTCAGCCGCTAGGAGGATATCTCGATTTGGGTTTGCTCATTAGCAGCTTCCTCTTGCCCCCAACCCTAGGAGCTTTGCTAGCAGGTTTCTCTTTGCAAAGTTAGAGACAAATAAGTCCAGCTGCCCAGGGGATGGAACGCTCTCTCCAGCTGGCATTTTGAGCAGCCCCCCAGCTGGCTGGGGGCAGCAGCAGGACAGGCTCACATTGGGCTGTACCATCCTTCTGACCCACTTCTTCCTGTCAGCACAGGTTAGCTCAGGAAGCCATGTGCAGGAGGAAAGATCCAGGGACCATGGTTCCCTCTGGGCTCTGGGAATGCTGACAGGCAAAGATGACCCTTGAGCTGGGATGTGAGAACATCAGAGCTGTCAAGTGAGGGCCTACCTTGCAACTCAGCTGCAGGGAGAGGCCTGGGCTGACGGAAGCTGTTTTCCATGGGCTTTTTTTTTTCTGGTACTAAATCAAGGCATGCAGAAAAGACCTTATGGCCTTCTCCTGCCCCCTTGTGGCAGCTACAAAAGGCTATTCTGGGGTGTTTGAAGTGTTTGAAGTTGCCTAACCTGGCTGCCTCAGCTCCTCTGAACTATTTCATAATATTTCTGCTTCTTTTAGAAAATCACAGTTTTCCTAAAGGGCCTGAATGGTCACACCATTCAATCTCTCCATCCCTACTTCCCACCAAGCGTCTATAACACCTTTGACAGATCATCACCTGTCATCTTTAATATACATCCAGGGACAAGAAGCTCCCTCCCTCCCAAAGTGGCTCATTCATCAAGAAACAGCTTCAGAGAGGAAGTGTGGTATAGCGGAAGGAATTTGAGCTCTGGAGGCTAGCAACCCTGAGTCAAAATCTTGGGTTGGAATCATATTTGCTGTGTGGCTTCAAAGCAACTTAATCATGCTGACTATTTGGTCAGCCATTAAAATGGATATGATAATACCTACCTCACAGACATGTCAAGAGGAGTGGATGACATAAGGCCTGCACAGCAAGTAGCACACAATAGGTGCTCAGCAAACATTAATCCCTTTTCCCTTCTATTGGACTTTCTGGTGGCACCCACCAGGCTGATGTGCTTATCAAAATGCCATGACACAGGCCAGATGGCATCATCTTCATTTGCTAGATGAGAAAAATGGGGCTCCGAAAGGTGATACAACATATACTGGTCCCACGAAGCCAAAAGAAAAGACAGCTTCTAAAATCTACCTGGCCAGCCTCTTACCTCGTCAGCAGCCATCAGAAGACCCCTTCCACTTCTAGCTCACAGGGCCCACACTCTCAGCCATCCCATGCTCTGGTGGCCGATCTAACTCAAGGGCAGTACCACTACTGGGGACAACAAGTACCACAGTTGGAGAATAATAGCTCAATCTATTAAACAACTTGGGCCTTCTTACTACCTCCCGTTCTCCTGTCCTCCTGAGTAGATGAGAGAGAGTGTGCTCTCAGCTGCTTGGGTTGAGAATAGGGGAGGAAGAGATAAGGAGGGGTAAGCTGAAGAGGTGAGGTGTATGTGTGGGAGAGGGGAGAGAAGGACTGGCAAGGGGAACGATGAAAGGTTGGCAATGGAGAAAGATGAGATGGGAGTTGGAGATTCGAAATCTCGGCCTCCTTGTCCTGGTGTGTATGGTGATGAGATAAAAGATGGTGCAACTCATCCTTCTGCTGGAACAGGGACCTGGGCCCCAAGGTAGGCACTTACTGGCTCTGTTCACCCATCAGATCAATGAAATAGGTCCCTCTTCCTTTCTTTCCTGTCTCCTAAACCTAGCACATATGGACAGGCCTCAACCCAGGCCTTACCTCAAATTAAACTATTTCAAGAGCCTCCCTTTGTAACCATCCATTTTTATGTGATGCAACTACTTGGAAAAGAAAGCGTCATCAGGCTCTGTGGCTCTCCTCATCGCTCCACCTGCCTGTGCTCACACTCCACCCTCTAGCCCGCCCACCTACCCTCCCCCATCCTGGTGATTTCAGTTCCAGAAGCTTCCTATGCCAGCACCAGGATCCAGAAGGCCCAAGAGCTCTGAGTTCTGGGCCCAGCTCAGCCACCAGCCCTCAAGACAATCCCCATAGCTGGATCCTTCCTGGGCCTCTGCGTCCCCATTGCCAAATGGCACAATAGTTCTACACCTGTGTAGGACCAGGCTGCAGCCCCGACAAAGACTGAAATGATGGCTCCCCACAGAGCAGAGCAGAATTTTTATGAATGTCCAGCCCAGGAACATCAAGACAATCTTGGGTTCTCAGCGAAAGAAGCTGCACTTTGTCTTTCTTTGTCCCTGAAAGGTAGTGGGTAAGGAAGCATGCTATATTCCCTGTGCTGCAGTGGGGGGCGGACCAGGGGCTGCTATGCAGTACTAGTAAGATCCTGGGAAAGATGTTTAATCCCATCTGAGCCTCAGTTTCTTCATTGGAGAAATGGAGATGACATCCCATACATACATGTGTACATGCTAAATTGTAAGAACCAAGTCCGTCAGAATCAAAGGCCAGGGTAGGGATGCAGTGGAAGGATATGAGGTAGGGGCAAATTTCAAGTCCAGGTAAAGCGGTAAGAACTGCCATGAGGTACAAGGTTCCTCTGGGCCAGGTATCAGGGAGCTGTTCTTGGGGCACACTACACACAGCTGAGCACCACTGTGAAAGCCCACATGCTTGGCTCCTGCAGATATAAGAGCATCCTGGAGGCTCAATCCCACACCAGTCCTGTGGTGTGAAGATGGAGCCGTTACACAAGGCTTTGTCTCCAACCAACGTGGCCCCTACTCTGAGCCATCTGCAGGCTGGAGAATCGCCTGGTAGGAGTCAAACATTGTGGGCAGGAAGGCAAGAGCTTAGCTTCTTGCTGGGGCTGGCCTGGCAACCTGTCAGCCTTACTGTGGTTGGTTGGCAAGACCTTTGGAGGGCAGAGTTCTTGGGGGAAATCTGTGAATAGGACTGTGGTCCAGGCAGAGGAAGGTCATAGCATGGGTGTACCTCCCAGGCTGCATGGAGGGATGACCAGCACCCAGCCCTGCCTGGCACAGAGTTGGTACATTGCCTGGATCGCCACAATTCTATGTGCAAACGGACAGTTAGGAGCAAGGAGGAGAAGACGAACGAGGATGGGGGTGGGGAGAGAGGTTGCCAGATAAAATACAGCATGTCCAGTTAATCTGAATTTCAGATCAATAACAGCACACTTTTTTTTATATGTCTCATGCAAAATTTAGGAAATATTTATACTAAAAAGTTATGCATTGTATATCTGAAATTATACTTTAATTGGGCATCCTGTATTTTTATTTGCTAAAGCTGGCAAGTTTGGGGCTGGTGATGGGGGTTCTTTGTGTAGGGCTGAACCTGCCTGCCAAGGCCCACTCACCAGAGAAGAACTGGCTGATGGAGGTGGGAAGGAGCGTGAGGAAGGCCAGGGGGTGGGAGAAGGAGATGGAAAGGACTGCAGAGATGTAGGCCACGCCAGCCACCATGGAGTAGAGGCAGGCAAGGGAGGTGTAGAGGCAGAACAGGACGAAGTTGCGCATGTTCCTGCTGCCAATGCAGTTGCCGGTGAAGAAACAGTGATGGTCGTGCCTCAGGGTGACTCTGGAGCACACTCGGCAGAAATGGGTGCTGGATGGGGGACATGGAGCCTTCCTGGCCGAAGTCCCCTGACAGGCGTCCAGGTCGTCGGGGGAGTTCTGGATGACCAGGACGTAATTGCCCAGGGCGTTGGTTGAGAGGAACAGGAAGAGTGCTCCGTGGAGCAACGCGGGCGAGAAGAGCGGGGTGGCTGCGGGGTCCTCGCGCATGCTGGGCAGGAAGAGGAACAGCTGCAGCACGAAGGTCACCAGGGAGATGCACAGGAAGTAGGCGGGGGCCACCACGTTAAGCAGCCTCAGGGCCAGCATCCTCCATTACATTCCTGCGGGGCCCAGGGCGAGAGGAAGACTTACTGTGGTGTCCAGGGGGCGCCCTAGGGTGCTCCTCCAGCGCTGTTGGTGCCGCTCCTCGCAAATCCATGCTCTCCCGACCCCTGTCCTTCGATCGCCCCTCCTCTCCTCCCTAACCCGGGCCCAAACAGGCTTGAGACCCCGAGACAGCGAAGGCCTCTGGGAGCCAGGATTTTTGTCCTGGTGCCCTCTCTATTGGTTTTTGAGAGACCTTGGCGCCCTGGCGCCCTGGGGTCAGGCACCAGGAGAACGAGGTTGGGACTTGTTCACAGTCTGTAGGGTATGGGGGGCGGGGAGCTAGGGCTCCGCTCCTTTAAGGCCGTGGACACGAGCCCAGGTTAGGGATTTCTCTTTCAGAGCCCCAAGGAGGAGAAAGGTAAGGATTTAGAGTGGGAGCAGAGAGAAATTACCTCCTGGAAGTCCTGCTTCACTATCCCTTTCTCCGCTCCCTGCCCCCCCACCCCCGCCCCATCTTGGGCAATACTCTGGAACCTCACCGTTAGCCTGAGGCTCTTTGGAGGGATGTGTGCTTGTGGGTCCGTGACATGTGTGTGTGTGTGTGTGGGGGGGATTCCTTGTGTGTGACTCTGTACGTGTAATCTGTGTGCGCCTGGGTGTCTCTGTGTATATCTGTGTACACACACGCAGCCGCTGCTACCTGGCTTTTAAAAAAATCAGTTAAAACGATCGATACATTCGCACACGCGCTCAGGCACCGGGTGGGGTGGGGGTGGGGGTGGGGGCGCAGCCAGAATACCTGTGTCAGCCGGTCCTGGTCAGCCCACCTCTTCGACGCTGGCACCTTGGCTATTTCTTTGCAAAGAGCGTTTTTCATTTAAGGCGACGAAATTAAAGTCCCCCCATTCGCTCCCACATCCCGCCCTCCTGGAGCGAGAAACCCAAACAATCCCGATTGCGCCGAAACCCTTTCGGTACCAACAGGCCCGCTCTGGGTGCAGGAGTAGATGCTTGGCAAGCCTTTCCGCGGACCGACCCCTGCCGCCAAGCGCAGCCCCCACTGCATCCCCACTCCACCCTGCCCCCCACAGCCCAGGTTCCTGCCCAGCCTCGGAGGCCACCGCAAAATGAGATTTCGGGCGCCTGAGAACTTTTCCAGGGGCTAAGGAGTCGGGGAGCCAGAGAAGCCAGAAAAGTTCTGGGAAGGCTGCCGCGCCCAGGATGCGCAAATGCCAGGAGGCCTCCGTCCGGGCTGTCCCGTCTGAACAGCCGACTGATCACCTTGGAGTACCCTCTGCAGGTGTCAGTGCCCCCCGGGGACCCGTGGCCGCCGTGGGGAGCGCGGGCCTCTCTCCGCGGCAGGGGCCCAGCACAGGGCACGCCAGAGGGGTGGTCGCTGGGGGCTCGGCACTGCTCCTGGCCATGCACTCTCGGGGGCTGCGGCGGCCTGCCCACCCCAGAGAGAGCCTTCGGCCTCGGGCTCGGGCAAAGCAAGTGTCTTCCCCATGCTAGTCGCCAGGGGGGCGCGGGAGCAGCCTCCAGATGCGCCGCGGCGCCTGCAGGACGAAGAACTGGGGCCGGGGGAGTGTAGGGCGCTCAGCGGGCGGCCGCTGCCGGAGCCCTAAGCTGGAGAGGGCACCGCGAAGACTGCCCGGGGGCGCGGGGGAGCTGTCGGTTCAGCACTGCGCCGGCCTCGCCCACCGCGGAGGGCGGCACAGCCGGAGCCCCAGAGAGGCAGGCAGCGCGGGCGGCCGCCGGCTTGTCGGCCACCGCCTCCCTGACGCCGGGGAAGCCGACCCCCGCGCCGCCGCCGCTGCCGCCGCCTCACCGCCGCAGAGGGGTGGGGAAATGCACTCACCGAGCTCTTGTCGCCGACAAGGGGAGCCCTGGACGCTGGCTCTCGCCCTCCCCGAGGCTGCAAAGTTGTGGGCTCGGCCCGGCTGGCTCGCAGTCTCCTCACGATTTGCTTCGGGGACTGGGCAGGTAGCGGGGGCGTGGGGCGGAGGGAGCGGGCAGCTGCGGTCCTCCCACTTGGGCGCCAGCGAGTGGGGCCCAGGAAGCGGCAGGGATGGCAGCTGGGTAACCCCCAGCCCCGCCATCCCTCCCTCCCCTCCTGGGGGCGGCGCTCTGGCCACCCCTCTCAGCAACGTGCGCGTGCCCCCACCCTTCCTCTCGTTCTCCCCGAGCCCGCTGAAGCGCCCTGCCTGACTTCAGCCACCGGTTCCAGCTGGGATCTGGATTCAGTCCTGCTCTAGCCATCATCCACTCCGCCCCTCCCCAATGTGGCTGACAACCCTCCCTGCTCTCCACTCTGGGACAGAGAGAAGTCTAGGGGCTTGAGAACTAAGCCTGCCAGGGGCAACACCCATGAAGATCAGCGTCATTGTCACAGAGTGGGTGAGAGCCCGACTCTGGAGCCTGTCTGCCCAGATCTGAATATCCACCATTCACTACTGCGTGATCTTCAGATTCCAATTTCCTCATCTGTAAAACAGAGATGTGAGGATTATATGTAAAGTCCTTAAACAGGGCCTGCCCATGGTAAGCACTATTTGCATAATAGTTCATAATTACTGATGCTATGTATTGGGCCCTTAGCACCAGGCACTGTGCTAGGCCCTTAGCATAGGACAGCTTTGCTAATCCTTTCATCAGAAGCTCTATGATCCCCAGTGTATGAGATTGAGGCACAGAGAAGCCAAGTCACATGCCCAAGGTCACACAACGGGTGAGTGGCAGAGCCTGGGTTTGAACTAGTGCACCTGCTCCCCAGCCTCTACACAACTCAACATCACCCTGATACCCAGGGGGAGCTCTGATTTTGGACACGGGAGGACAACAGAGGGGCTTGTCCAGACACAGAGCTTGAACCAGAAGCATCTGCTTGGAGTCCTGCTCCCATCCCCCTGTTCCTATTGCCTTCCACTTCCCTCCTTCGCTATTCTGAGGTGGGTACTGAGGGGCACCGAGGGTGGGGACACGTGGCCAGTGTGCATCAAATGGGGGTAGCCGTGGGGGAAGCAGAGTGAGCTTTAGAAACACTGCAGGAATACTGGTGCCACCATCACTACCTCTGTTTCCTGGGCTGTCCTGGCCCACCCACCTGCACTGTTCCACTCCCCTGGGTGAAGGCAAACATAACCAATAAATAATTGTTTATTGTTTTCTCAATTGGTTGATTAAAATAAGAGCAATCCCTTAAAATGAGGGCCATATGCTTATCAGCTCAGCCTGTATTTTTGAATCATCAGATACTGTTTTCTCTGTATTTTATCAGTGTGCGTCAAAATAAAAAGGGGTCCAGGAAACCTTTCTGTGTTCTGAAAGGGTCCTATATATAAGCAAAAGAACAGCTTTGCCAGGTGTTGGCCTCTGAGAACCTGGTAGCCCTGTGAGTTCCAGCGGCCACAGGGCAGGCACAGGGAAACATAAGTGGCCTTCTTTCCTTCAGAGCTGCTTTGTGTCAATATCATTGCTGTCAGGGCCCATTTCACAAGCTCTGCCTGCCTCTCACCCTGGCTTGAGAGGGAGGAGGAGCCTGGAGGACTTGGTTTGGGCTGTATTGGTTGAAGATTGTTCCCTAAATACCTTGAGAGTCTGGCAGTATTTCTAATTTTATTTTACATATGGGTGTGTGGTGGGAAGGTGTGTGTCTGAATTTTTGTGTGTGTGATGGGAGGGAGAAGGAGAGGGAGAGGGAGAGAGAGAAGCTAAATGAATGTAGGAAGATATCAGTGGGGAAAGGAAGTATTCAGCCCAGGAAAGAGATGGATATCTGGCCATGGAAATGCAAATGGATAAGAGCAATTATTTATTTGTTTGTCAACAGAAAAGGGCATTAAAGCTTCAGATCTCAAGCTAGTAGTTCCTCAAACTTCCATTCCAGCCCCAAGCCCCATAAGAATGAAGCAGACTAAGAACAAACACCTTACTGCCACTTGTTGGCTGTGGGACCTTGAGCAAGTCACTTAACTTCTCTCTCAGTGTTCTCATGTATAGAATGGGATGAAGATGTTACCTTGCGGTGATGATGAGCAAATGGGATAATGTAATTAATTGCCTTAGTCCTGGCAGGAGATTGGATAGTGTTAGCTTCCTTTTCCTCCTCTCTCTCTTCTGAGCTCTAAACTTTATCTGCAAGAATGTCTTATCTTTTCAACTAAAATGAGAGCTCCTGGTCTATGTTGGAAATTTTTGGTGATTTCCTCCATATCTCCTAACATGATGATTTGCCCAGAAGAGACACTGAGTTAAAGTGTATTGATGGATCAGTTGATACTGGTCTCTCTCTCAGGGGAAGAGCTGTGTTCCAAGATCTTTAAAATGTCTGGTGAGGGCGCTTTTGCCATTGATATTGCGTTCTGCCGCCATCCACCCCAACTATAGTCTCATCCTTCATAAACTTCATAAACGGAGTCAGAAAATAATTTATAAACAACACTCTCCATTGCCTTTGTCATATATTCTTACAGTTAAGCTATGACTATACCTGCAGGCTGTCCCGCGGGAGTAAGAACACAGACAGGCATCTGACGGCTGCTGAGCACCTTCCCAGAAATATGGGCCATAAATCTTGCTATTTGGTGGTGGTATTTGAATAAAATGAATTCCATTCCAAGTGGCAATCATTTCATTTTGCTTCAAAATATTGTGCACAAATAGAGGAACTCTATGCAGCAAGCCGCTTCTCCCTTGAGTGGGGAACCCCACACACATGTCTGGCCCTGCAACTCCCCTTGTGTTTGGAGTAAAGAAGATCCCAAGGTACAGGAGGCCACACATCTAAAGAGGCTCTGGGGATTGTCCTCATTCTCACGCTCCTTTTTCAGATTGATTGAGGTGGAGATAGCCTGGGTCTCAAGGTTAACTGGTACCCTGAAATTAAGATTTTAATAAACATCCCCAGACAAGATGCTCTTTACTGCCTATAGCCATGGGCAACCCCAAAGTGCTCCCCAAGTCTCAGAAGGCTTAGTGAAACACCATCCCGGCCTGCCTGGACCCGGAAAACACACAAGGATAATCTTCATCTTAGCCAACTGAACGCATGAAAATTGGATTACCACAGAATTTCTGTTTCGAGGTGGTAATTTATTTGGCCAACTACATCTTCATTTTAACAACAATAACATTGCTGTGATGTAATAAAGCGCTTTGCAGGTTACAAAGTACATCGACAAAATTAAAATTTCATTCCACGAGTCTCTCAACAGTCCTGTAAGCTAGCTGGAGCAAAAATTATTAAACCCATTTTTCTTATGAGGAAACTGAGGTTCAGAGAGTTGCCGCATGTTCATTTGCAAGCCTTGCCTATGTTCGAATTAAATGTGATTTAAGATGCAGAAACCTCATTGATACTTCAGCTGTCTGGAATACATCCCTGGCATAAAGGAAGCAGGGATATAACATACTCCTTCAGAATAAAAGGCCTGCTTGATCTCTCTTTAAGATATTTATGTAAAATTACAGAAATAAAGTGCCCCTGCAGCACATTAATCAAAGGTTCTCAAACACTCTGCTGTTTGCGGTGCTGGAGAGACTGTGTGTGATTGTGGGGGGCGGGGGGGGGCAGTGATGCTCACTCATCATCCAAGCCCACCTGTCAAGGTCGAAACAGCAGGTCTGAATGTCAACCTCTGGGTGACAGGTAACCCCAGCGATCTCCTTGATGATTGATGCCTCAGGGTGGAAACCTTGGCATGGCTTGGCAGAGCCTCTTTTGGAGCTTTCAGGCCGTGGAAGAATGAATGTGATCGTTTACCAATTAG